AACGCATGATCGCACCGTTTACCCTGATGCGATTTGCTATTTATTTATCTCGGGAACCACGAAATCTAGAAAGCTGAAATTTTATGAATATGTCCCCTGCCCACATACTACTTCTCTCAAATTTAAATTCAGCCTTCCCGCGCCCGCGGGTAACATGTACGGCCTTGTGAAACTTTTGGCGGGCAAATTATTTATTTCAGGGACGAAGCAACCTAGGAAGCTGAAATTTTAGAGCGATGACCCCCTGCCCACGTACGACCTCGCAAATTCAAGTTCAGCGTTCTCACGGTCTCGGGTATCGCCTACGACCCCATAAAAGTTTTGGTGGGGAATTTATTTCGGGAATCACAAAGGCCAGGAAGCTGGAATTTTACAGTAATGTCTTTTGTCTACATACAATCCTGCTGTTTTAAATTCAGCTTTCCCAAGCGTATGAGTTTCACTTACGACTCCGTGTAAGATTCCGCGGGGAAAATTGTTATCTCGGGGACTGCGGAAGTTGAGAATATGAAATTTTAGGGTGATCTGATCTATCAGCGTACAACCTCGCAAATTTGAGTTCAGCCTTCACGCACCTCTGGGTACCACGTACGTCCCGTGGAAGTTTTGATAGAGAAATTATCTAGTGTGCGTGAAATTTTTAGTGGAAAGTTCCGCAACATGGGAAATAGACAACATTTCAACTATTTTGCACAGAATAAAGTGCAAAGCAGTGAAAACTATTAGCAGGCAATCGTTCGGTGGACGGAATTGCACATAACGCATGATCGTACCGGCTGCCCTGGTGCGCGCCGCTATTTATTTTCATTTGATTAGTTTGGGAAATTTACTTGGCATCTTCTTTTAGAGACTGGTTTGCAATTTTTTCAAATGATACTTTGTTCGAGTGCAAGATGTAGATTACTCGTGTGATATAGAACGAAAACCCCCTTACACTGCTTTATCCCAATAAATAGGCAGTGGTTTATGCAGGGAGCTGTAGCCATCAGGAATTTCCCTACCCTTCAATTTCATTAACACTTGCTCATTCTGGGCATTTAAAAGCTTTCTGAAGAAAACTGCATTTATGAATTCGAAATTAGCTGAATATTGAGAATTGTTTTGCACTGAGCTCCCGTGCGGCTTCCGGACTTTCCAGCAAAATGCAACCAAATTGCGCTTCTGACTATTTTGTAACTAACTGCGATTAGGAATTTAATTTCATTTTTTTACGGAAAAAGGATTCAGTGAGTCAATTTCCTAATTAATGTGAAATTTTGCCCTCCTGTTTGCATTCGATTATTTGAAAGCAGCGAATTCTTATTTGATTGGAATGACGACTCATTACGAGGTTAACTAGTCAAGGTTAAAACCTTTTTTATTCGTTCTGTCTCAGATGCAGAGGCACTCAGAGAGGTAGTTGAGCCATAGCTTCTTCGGACGTTACTTACAAGCAAGCTGGTAACGAGTCTTACTCCCTCGCACATGCCAGTACCAATTACCGTCGAACGAACGAACGAATCGTAGAGTGATTGGTTGTTCCACCATCGACAGCAACGCTACTTCCCCATTGCTTCATGCTTCCCATTGCTTCATGCTTCCAGTGTTATAATTAAATGTTTTGCTTCAGCCATTAGTAATCAACCGTCTTTTCGACACTGCTTTTGTCTTGTGGCTTCTTACTAATTCTAATTTTTTTATGAGGAAACTTCAATATTGTGGCTTTGGCTCATGCTGACTTTTCTAGTCCGCCGTTTTTTCTTTTTTAGCTTTGAACTGCCCTCAGTACTTCACTGTGTAAGTGCCGTTGGTCTGTGAATTTCCGTTGCAGTGTTCACAAATAAATAATTTCATGAACGAATGAAAAATGCCGTATGCAAACGGATTGCATTTTACTGTTGTTGCTAATCATCGTTATTATTTTTACTAATATTTATAATGGTGGTAATTTTTGTATTATCTACATTATCACTGCTTATTTATTATTATCACCATAATTTTCATTATTACTGTCGCCACTATGTCATCGTTATTATTGTTATTTCTGTATTATATTATTATTGTTATTATCATTATGGGAGAGGCAATTCTCAGATAGGGCAGAGGAATAAAAAAA